ATAATTAGTGTTAACTGTTAAAAAAAAATCACTCAGTATAATAGTGTTTTAAGAAATTCTGATGTCGCGGATTTTTTTGAACATAATAGTGTCTGATACTATGTAGTACGTACTAATAACCGGTAGACTGCATATAATATTATAATGCATGGTTCTCTATGAAATTGTATTTTTGCTTTTTAAGTATAATTTCTTTTTTATACTTTATATTGTTATGACGTACATGGATATTTATGACTTATAACCTGCGTACATAAAGTTTTTTTTACGTGTTTTTAATTTAAACTCATAATAAATAATAGTTCTTCTGTAACATTATACCTTTTTAACGTTTTTAATTGTAGTGACTATACAAAGGTGGTGTTGCAAAAGTTTTTAGAATACGCTCACTTGAAATGAAATTCAACAATAATTTTCGTTTTGATTTTTTCGTTTCTCTTACGTTGATTGTTGCACATAATGTAGTTCTGGTGATCGATAACCAGATTGGAGTAATATGAAGTAAAATAGTCAGCAATTAATAATAGAAAATGAGTAAATGCATTTTAGTCGATATGATGTATTGTAACATGCTCTTTTCGTACCTTTATGATTATTATTTAGTATGTTGCAATAATATTTTTAGCTGGAGCCACTGGAGGAGATAAACGGTTCAAGTTTATATAATATTTGCACGCCTGCAGATGTTACTCAAATCAGTATCATCAAAGCTTTTACATTTTGTCATTCGTTTATTCTACATGTACATAGTATGTAAAGCGATTAAGATCAAAATCATGCCTCCGATTTGTTCTATTATTATTGTTATAGTTATTATTATTATTATTTTGAATCGTTCTAGTGACTAGTACATATTATATACATATACATATTTAATATAGTGTAGCCATACGGCTCGATTTTACACGATGACGTTATGCGTGTAGATTATAGGATACATATTATACGAATCGTCCTCCCAACTAAAATAATTTCGGACTTTGTGGTTACTCCCCCCCTCCCCCCAGGGTCGCCGCCTGCAGCTGCTGCAGCGCGGGCAGTATTGTTTTGTGAGCGGGGCGCTGCAGTCATCGATAAGAAGCTTTATCCTCCCGTTTGGAGCATGAGGCGCATAAAATATATATAAAGAAGGGCCGGGCAATCGTATCGACACACACACACACACACACACACACACACACACACACACACACACACACACACACACACACACACACAGGCATACGCACACACAGTGTTATCATCCGAAGATTTACGGCGTTATATTATTCCATATGCATTTCCATAAAACGACCGTTTTCGCAGCATCTTCTCCGGACTGGTGCCGGTGTGTACTCTTACACATATACACGTGCGATAGGCGGAAACCGCTTACCGCTATCGTGGTATAGACGACTGACGAAAGAGAGAGAGAGGGAGAGAGAGAGAGAGAGAGAGAGACTGTAACCATAATAATATTATTGTATATATCATAAGACTTTCGTATGTTCTTTATCCTCTCCGTTTTTTTTTCAATAATTTCCTATCGTTCTTCCCAACCATACACGGGGCCGCATCTTTCCTTTCCACCGCTGCTACCGCGTTTGGCTATTCGGATTTATCCTCCATAATAATATAATAACATTCGGCAATATAAACCCCGCGGGGTCGGTCTCGCCGCCGTGCATCATCATCAGCCAACACATGTGACGTCGGGCGTCGTTGTTCTCTATATATTTCTATTATATTATTATCTGCGGGTCATATAATAATATAATAGTTGCCGTACGCACACACCCACGCACGTTATTTGAGAGTTCGTATTCGGATTTATTGACTTGTCCTGTTGGCCGAGAACGCGTCTCGAAAAGAAATTCGACTTTTGGTATTATTTTGTATTGTATTTTATTGTTTTTTTTTTTTTTATCGGGAAGTCGATTTCATTTTTTATTTTCACGAAAACGTTATCGGCTTTCTAATATCATATATATAAATTATTATACACACAGTGATTCCTATCAGAGATAAACTAGGTATATATATAATATATTATTATACTGCCGCGCAATATAGTCGGTCGTAAATTATGAGCGTATTATAATATATTATTTTCAAAAATATTTTAACGACGCAAACCCGTATTTTTTTATACGAGTGCCGTTGTGACAACTGACAATAGTATACGTACACCTACGCACTTTTTTCGTGTATTTTTTGCTCCGACGACGACGACGACGACGACAAAAGCGAAATTACTATTATAACCGCGTGTAAAATAAATTACAATTACAAAAATTCGTTCTAACCGAGTATGTAAAATATTAAACATAATCATAATTTTATGTATAGCCTGCCAATAACCATGCTACAGTAATTGCATTCGCCGTGTATTAAGCTTCGTCGATGCGTGTGCGATCTTTGTTTATCGATTTTGTCGAACCATAAATAAAACACGCACACACGTTCGGAACATATTTTAATTAAAAGCCTTGTACAAGCTAATAATTTTTGATGTATTATTTTTTCACGTTTTTTCACGCTTGTTATCGATTAATTTATGACATTGAAACTGTTTTAAATGTTTGACAAATTATGGTTCTGTATTCTATTTATGCATCGATAAATCATACATTTTTGTATTAATATTTTATACTATAGGAAGATCGACAAATTTCATTGATTAGAGATACCTATATACGCCCGACCACGTGTTAAACATGTTTAAGCATTGCCGCAGCATAGGATTTGTTGACCCTCTTGGGACAAATAATGGTACGAGGTCCTTGGAATATAAAACAATTGTGTATATCACCAATTTCTAAGGATTAAATATAATATATTTAACACAAATTATAAACGCAGTGTCCAAAACAGGAAAAATTATCGCGGGGAGGTTGGTGCTTCAATGCTCTAATATTGTTTGCTCGTTACTGGTACCTCTATTTTATAGTATAAACCCATCGCCGGCGGGAGAGCAGGACAGAAAGGGTAGCTGCCCTGGGCCCCGCGATTTTCGTGGCATTTGATTAAGCCTATAATTTTGTTTTTCAAATTAAAAATACAAGCCACGTGTGCAGTGGTGGCTTGTGGGTTTTCAATAAAATTATTGGAATACCTATAATAAACGAGTGAGAGTTAAAATTAATCATAATGCCAACGAGCGACGGCGACGTCCAAAACAGTTTTGATGTTAAAACCTTGAATTTCTCTTTTGATTTTTGTGCAACTCTTGTATTTAGTGTATTTGGTGTACCTAAACATTGAATTTGCACTTTTTTTATTTTAATAAATATTGAAAAAATTCTTACGAGGACCTAAGTATTAGGACGTGCTAGAAAATTTTTTTTGCCTTACGAAAAAAGGTTTCTTGGTCTCACGAAAAAAATTTACCCCGGGCCCCGCAAAACCTCCCTCCGGAGCTGTAATAAACCAGTCGAAAACCGTCAGTTGAAATGTATTAAGTATATTAAGTATATTTAGGTAATAGGTGTGTAATTTATCGCTTATGTATTTTATGAGAGGGCTTGTATTAAGGAATTTTTTTTTGGTACGGCCATGACTTTGCTCTCACAAGACACTCAATTTTGTGTCACTGAATATATACTAGTGTAAATATACATAAAACTGTCTACAGAAATAATAATGTCATATAATAAAGCCTAAAGTTATAAGCCACTCTAATGCTGTAATGTAAAATCTCTAACAAAAAAGCTCATCTAACAGTTTATGTTAGGTATGTGTAATATTTTTGTTTATGCATATTACTATTATATTATTGTTTCATTGTAAATCAAGTTCTTCATTAGAACAAATAAAAATCTTAACTAGAACTCGTAGGCACTTGTAAAATGTTTCCTTATGAAGTATAATAATATTTTGTTCTCAAATAACAATCGTATTACGTGCGATTCGTTCAGATATCATACACAACAATACATATAAAAAAAAATAAACGACTTAAGGAAAAAGAAAAATAACTTCGGTAGATGAAAAAAACCCATTTTTCAAACAGCAGCAGCTATTGAAACAGCACCGTATGACCCTTATTGAATAGTTTAAGGTTTACGGTCGTTTAAACTCGTCCACCTTTCATCGAGTTTTTTTATTAACTTCCTTATGAATTTTAAGAGACGATATGTTGGTGTAAAAATGATATTCATATTACTTACAAGGAAATAATATGTATACTGTATATGTATACTGTATAGGTATATTACTGATAGTGCCCTACGAGTAGATATGCAATAAAATGTAGTTAAATGCAATGACAATCGTTGTCATATTATATAAATGATCTAATTGATCCTTATAATTACATTGATACTATCCATATGTTGGTAATAAATCATCGGAATTAATGATGAACATTTCAATTTTTACTGCTTAGTATTTAAGTTTAATTTTAGAACCATGAAATACATTGGCGTGCAGATAGAATATAATAATCCGATTAATTTTTTTCTGAAATTTTTGGAAAATTGGTACGATTCCTGGAAGAATGAGTAAAATAATAGTGTTCATGTACATATTTTTAATAAAATTATTTTAAGTTTTAATGTTTTCAAAGTTATAAAAACTGCGGTTTCTATAAAATGAAATATATATTAGTGAATATAGAAATATATCTGATATAGATATTATTCAAACAATTCAAACTCGACCTAAAAAAATAATAATATACATTACGACACAAATAATATTGAATTTAATAATTATAGAGTAATTAAGAGCATTAATGCATAATGTGTATATTCTTACGCATTTATTTCAGATGTTTGTTATTAGGTATATTATAAATAATATTGTTGTTCTTATTATATTAATAGTGTAAGAATGCGAATTATTCAAACACTATTATTGTTTTAATTTTGTGTTTGGTAAAAAATGTTAACCAGTACCCTATTATGTCAACCATAATAATAATAATAATAATAATAATAATAATAGGTAGTCAGGTTCATATTATAATAATATTATCATGAAACATAGTAATTAAGTGTAAACGTGTTATGGTGTTGCAGGCGTTATCATAGTGAGCGGTAACCCACAGCAGACGGGCAAAGAAGTCGACCCGAACGCCAATTCTGTGAACCAATTCAATAATCATGGTGAGTGAAAATAAGCAAATAATACAATATAAAATACCTGTATCATAACAGCAATATGCTATACGGCACACGCCGCGCATTATACAGAAAAGTTAATTAAGTTCTAAAGGTGACCGGAATAATAAATAACGCGGTGGGTCGTGGGTGGGTGTGGGTGTGGGTGTGTGGGTCCTGTGGTTTAACTGTGCCCGGCCAACAGACGGCGTGTGGACCCGTGTGCGTCGCAGCTCTCGTTTGTGCAGCAATTTCACGGTCAACCGCGCTTAGGTACGGTTTTTTTTCTTACGCCGTCCCATCACGCAAACTTGACGCATTGTTGTTGTGTATTATATTCGATGGTGTACGGAATTAATAGTAATGTCGCTCTCATTGTTTTGCGTCATTAGAGTACACGTATCTATATAGGCAATGTATTCATTTTTTTTTTTTTTTTACTGATCTATAGACCGGCAACTATGGTCATTAGCTGTTTTTTGGGGGGTGTGGTTGGTTCGAAACACGTATTTGTATGTGTGGCAAGGATCTTGTTGCTAAAAATCCCGGGCAGTCACCAATCAAAGGAGCTAGCAACGCCGGCCGGTGCGTACACTCAGAGTGAGTGCGCAACTGAGTGTAGTCACCGCACCACAAAATGTATTTAATTGGAGTACGTACCCACAATTATATAATAATATAATATATTATAAATTTATAACTATATAAGCATGAGCTTTACCGGAAAGGTATGCAAATAATAAAATACACCACACACACACAGCACATGATACATAATATAATATGCGGAACCAGGTGAATTATTTAAGTCAAAACAATAAACGATATTGGAAATCTTATATATTTTTTCATAAATTTAAGTCGTGGCACATTGACATTTTTGAAAAGAAAATTATAATTATTGCAACTTTTTATTGTTATTATTTAAGTTTTACCGCTTAGGTATGTTTTTAATTTTATATGCCAAAGTAGAATATTACTCTAAATATGTTGATGTATAAATATCAAATTTTTGATTAGTCATATTAATTAGTCAAAAGTATTTTAAGTTTAGATGAGCGGAGTATTTTGTGGAGTACTACTGTACTGTTCCACGTCGCTCATATAAGTGTTAAATACTTATAATTATTCATACAAAAAACGGTCCAAAACCGAATTTTTTTTTAAATCGAAGAACTCCGAAAAACATTCTGCTTTTCAATAAGGAATATAAATGTATATCTTTATGAAAATTCAATAACATTAAAAAAAAATATAATTTTTATCTGTTTGTTTCTTTGTAATGACTTAAAAATTAAAATTATGTTAAGGAATATTTTCAAAAAACGTTAGTAGATTTTTAATTAACGAGTGTTTTTTGGTAAAAAGTATGCCCTGGAATATACAGAGTGATTTCCCAATATTTTGGAATTTTTAAGTATACTCAAAGAATATATTTTTAATTGATTCGATTTTTTATACCATTGAATAAGTCTCCTAAGGTGATACAAACTTTTTCTAATGAGACCTCTCCTTTTTTGTTGTCAACTATTAATCTCCAGATATTTTTGAAAAAGTCGACATAACTAAATCATAACTTGAATCAGTAGTTTGTGGGTTATTCAAATGTATATAGGACATAGATACTACGAATTAAAGTCCTTAAAAATGGTTTTATAAAAATATAGAATAAATAAAAAAATGTTGGATCAGGTATTTATTATATGACAATTTTTAGAAATTATAAATTGTTGATAGATTAATATTAATTAGAAATTAGTGCTTACTATTAATTTTATAATCATTATAGTCCCTAAATCTTCCAATCATAGAATATTATTATTTTGGATCTATTTATCTTTCATTTTTAAAAATTTTTCTATGAATATCTTATCTTTTTTTGTTTTTCTAAAATATATAATGTAACTCTGTATCATCATCGCAATCATCGCTTAAAGGTGGTAGATATTTTTTTTTGATAACTTAATATTATCTATTGTAAACTTGTATTATTTTACATGGTTGATTTAATTGTGTTGTTGCAAAAGATATAATTCTAGTAAAAAAAAATTATCCTCAGTGCACAAAATTAAATAACTTAAAAACTACTTGTTTAAATTTCGATTTGGCAGCATTAAAATTTTAAAAAAAATCATCTGCTTCAAAATGTACAGTTGAATGGTTGGTTTTCATTTGAAAAACATAAGTTTGTATCACCACTGCAGGACAATCTTTAAATGATGTACACAATTTAAGTATCAATTTGAAAATATATTTCCTTTCAGTATACTTATAAAAATCAGAACTTGAATAAATGCATTATCAAATGAAAAAAATGGAAATGAACGTGTTTTTGGTGAATCATTCTGGATAGTACATAATATGTGTACGTTTACTGAACGTATGTGCGTGTTGATTACGATTCCAGTGTATAGAAGAAGACTGATAGAGAGAAAGAGAGAACAAGGAAGAGAGAGTGAGAGAAATAGAGCTAGAGAGAGATGGACTAGGTAGAGTAGTGCGAGGATGAGTAGAAGAACCGAACTTAAAACACGATAAATCTAGTGGCGCGTTGGACACGGGTGGCGCCGCCGCCGCCACCGTCGTCGTCGGTGCGAAAAGGGGTAGCGGAGACTCGTATTTTATACCTGTGCGCTGAGGGGAGGGGGCGCTCGCGTCCCTCAAGACTTAAGTCGATCCTTCCGTTTCCGACCCTCGAGCCCAATGAATATCTTCGCGTTCGGCCACCATAACTACCTCTCAGAGATAACGGTTTAATTAAGTAATAATTTAACACGTAGCGCGGCCCGCCAACCGACCGAGTGTTGTGTACACGTATATTATACACACACACACACACACACCGCCCGAGAAAGCGCAACATTTATACGGTCTGTGTACAATGGTTTCTGATGCCGCTGATGCTGTTCGGGGGGGATTCCGGACAATGTACCGGCGGTGGTGGCAGCGTCACGTACCCAATGGCGTAGATTACGACGAGCGATTCCGCCACGCGAGCAGATTGAGTGGTGGTCGCGGTGCTTGCAGGGGTAGTTGCACCCTCACCTAGGGGCTATTGTAGTTGTGTTGGCGGTACGCATATTATTCGCGTTACATGTTGTTGCAGTAGGTACAAGTGTTCCACTCGATGGTGCTGGTGCACAGTCTGAAAGAGGATGTCCCGGAAATATTATACCCATTAGTATTGTCATACTGTCTGGTTGTATAAGAGACAAGTCGGTCACTGTTATTGTTGAAAACATAATTTTTCGTGTAAGAATAACTTTGAGATGTTTCAATATCTTTAGCTATTCATCACGGAACATCTAAGTAAAAATAATCCTTTTATTTGTCCAAAATCGAATATTATTCTAATATTGCTCTGCTGTAGTCATAATCAAGTTTGACACAATCCAGTAATCCAGTAATAACACTACCAAAATTATCTCGAAAACTAAAATATATTTTATGGAAACTGGAGTGTCATAAATCGGTGCATCGTTTTTTCAGAGTTTTTCTTAAAAACGAATACTTCAGTAAAAATCAAAAATTAACATTTTACCCGAAATGACCATAGGCACAAAATAAACTACATTATTTTTTAATTATATTCTTCGTTTCGCTCAGAATATCAAATAATTGATTTATTTTAATTATTAGCTGTTATTTGGGGAGTTATATGATGTTTATGCTGATCGTATCTGTTCGACCTCAAAGATACCACGGTCCCCAAAGTTCGTTCTAGTTTTATAAACTTTCAACGAAAGATCATATGCAGTCAGGAGTTGAAAAAAAATAATAAAAAAAAACTAGTAACGTCAAGCGTGGAATTTTTTTTGGGCGACAAACCTATTTTATTTTATGGTTTAGTCAGTCTCTCCTGATAAATTGAGCAAAACATAGCTTTATCCAAAGTACTCATACGCAAGTGTGGCCGCAGAATTAAGATCCCACTCGGAGGAAGCAATAAGAATTATTTATAATCTATTTACGGCGATGGTGATATCGATATTAAAGTATTAGCAGTTAAAAATTATCTGGGTGGCAATGACCGCTTTGCCATATTCACTGCTGGCACCCTTGCACACTCAAGCTCAGTAGAATACCCGAATACAGATGATATATAGGTAGGTATGTTTAAGAGTGGTTTTCTACTACACTGGACAACTGTAGATTAATAAAAAATTTTGTTGCAGTTTAAAAATAGATCACTTTGTATAGACCGTACCGATATATTTTCCAAACTTTCTCGAGACGATAAAAATCTATACCGCGATTGAGTGTTGTAGCACTTAGATACATCAGTTGAATTTTTCTCAAGGCAATCGACGTTTGCCAATGTGAAAATTATTATAATTTTTTTGGTGTCGCTGTTTTTTTGTTTTAAACGTGAAAACATGTCTTTGAATGTGTAATGTAGGTACCAATAGTGTATACAGTTGTTGCCGTGTAGAAATAAATAAGCGACATTTTTTTTTTCCAAATTGTTTTCTTGTTTACGTGCTCGGTGAATTTGACGGCTATTAAATCACGTCTATTATTCTGTACTCGTCATACGTGACCGTACATAATACTATGTTACTGTTTTTGCCGATTTAATAATACCGTATCGATTTATATTCCGTCGAGTTTTTATTTTTCAAAACTTATTTCAATATGGCGCACAAACGTAATAAATGAAATTAACTCTCATTAAAAATATTACAGCTTATTACTGTTATCAGTTATTAGATACTATTATTATACTACTCGTATTTTATAGGTACGTTGAAAAGTTGACTGTCAATTATTATTTTCAAGTGAGAATATTGTCATTCGTATCGAATCTGTACAGCTTGGTAGTTCTGATTTCGAGTGGTGGTAAATTGTATATACATTTTATTCATTGGATAGAATTAACTTATCATTACATACTTTTTGAAATTGTGTTTTTTCAATCGTTTGATATTTATAGTACGTATTTTTATTTAACGTACGTCATATTGATATTAATCAACTATTTGTGTCGTTGTAATTATTATTTTGTA